TTTTCAGACTCACCAGTAGTTCCCAGGCAGAACTCTCTACTATCTTCTGGAATGTTTAGGGATGCACCAGCTTTCTCTGGAGACGAGAGCAACGTTTTCACCCCCCTTCCTCCATTCCAGTCCATCACAGTAGATATGTAAATCAAAAGAATGTGTGCATCCATAAATATGAAGTTCGTTTCAAACTTAATATACAGTATGTAACTGCTTCTTCTCAGTACATAATATCTTTAGGATACTGCAAAAATATATGTTTTAATGAAGGATCATTCCGATTGCATCTCCAAGTTCAGTGACCTTAGTTAGGAGGTCATTCAGAAGTGAATGTAGAGTGGGTTCAAAAAGTTAAGATGACAGCTGTGTGATGAAAGCCCTACCTCTTTTTACATGCATTGTGCACATGAAATGGGTGGGGCTTCTATCCCATGATTATGGCTGCCATCTTGCTATTTTTTACTGTTCTTGTCAACATCATGTATTTTATTTTACAATCGTTTCTCCAATGATATGGAGGCTCCCTGGAGTTTCAAATAAATCACAGAGGAAGACCTCAGCAGGAAGGTCCAATAGGTCTTCTTCAGCTGCCGAGCAAGGGAGAGAAGGGCACTAGAAAAATACAACAATGGCACCACCTTCTGCCATCTTGCAGCCCAAAATCTCAAAGAAATTCTAAAGTTCTTGGGGAATGAGGTATTAGAGGAGCCTTTTTTGTGCAGGGAGAAAGCTTTCAGGGACCTGGAGGATACATTTTCACACAGTACTACTTAGTGCTACACCATTCATTAGGCATTAGGCTTTCCAGGATTTAGGAGGACGAGTCTCTGCCCAGAGAGAAAATAGAAGAAGGGAAGATGGGTATAAACAGACAGAATATTTATTGTTCTCAAAGAATTCAGGAACAATCTTTAGTCTGGAGCAGTGTTTCTCAACCTTGGCAACTTTAAGCTGTATGGACTTCAACTCCCAGAATTCCCCAGCCAGCTTAAAGTTGCCAAGATTGAGAAACACTGGTCCAGAGCAAGGAAACATTTGGCAGATATATTTTCTCTCATAATCGTAGCCCTGGGTAAAGAGTATCACATCAGTTTTCCCCTAAATTGTCAAAGAGATGCCTGGACCACAATCAGGAAGCAAAATATCCCTCTGTAGATGTAATGAAATATTCAGACTCTCTGAGGGCTGAAACTGGGTGTGGAGCATTACTGAGAGTCATTCCAAAGGAAAGCTGCCATTGTCCAGAGTTGCCCAGTTAAACCTTCTAAGGCTACAATGCATTCAGTTTATCCAGCAAAGTAGGAGATGACTTGCTAATCATATTGCTGGTCTCCCAACAGCCAATGTTTTATTTAAATTAAAAAGTAAATTAAAACAGCTGATAAATAGAAGAAATAAAATTCCTTCCAGTAGTAGAGAATCTATGTAGCTCAGGGTTAAATTGTTGAGTTCTTGGTGCAAGGTTGTTTTCCTGCAGACGTCTTATTACCCGGCTAACATTGATGGTGTTACATAGCCTCGTAATAAAGCATCTGCAGGGGAAAAAAATCAGAGAACACAAGAACTCAGTAAAATTCCTTAGTGGGCCATGCTGCAGCTTCTTCTCAGATGCATGTTTTCAGTGTGATCATGGGGGATTTTTCATGGATTTATCACTGAGCAGAACAACAAAGATGTCCATGGAATAACGTATCAGTCTACTTTACCTTTATGTTCAGCATGGAAGGGCAAATAGATGATCATGTAATTTGTTTCAAATTAATTCTGCTCATGCATAATTTTAGGAATCTGCATAGTATCCTTCTTCAATCTGGGAGCTGTGAAGGCAACTATACGTTTAGCCACACAATGTTTTTTAAAAAAAAACAAAAGTGTATTAATTAATTACTTCTTATCCTTGGCTTTTATTACAGGGATCTTGTGTGGATTGTGAGCAACTTAATAGCAGCGTTTGTCCTCCCAGGAGCACAGTTATGGTAACTAGCCCTGATTTTCTGTATGGAGGTTGTGCTGTGTGTGAGCAGCTGCCTCTTGTGGCCCTGTCATGGGAGACATTAATCATACAATGTTAACGCATGACATGAATATTAGCTGTCGTGACTTCTATACGCAGCCTTTCAAACCTTCCATATTCTGAAATCTTTGGTGAAGTCAGCCCTCTACCTTTCGCATGTAATTCTAGATGGGAGATAGATGTTCAACAGATGCCCAGCATTATATAAACAATCCAGGAAGAAAATAAAAAGCCAAATTTATCAAAATCAATACAGGGCAGAACCAGGCACTCAGCCTTTCTTCTGCATTGGCATCTTTGCAGCTTTGCATCAATAGTGGCTTGAAAAGGTCCACTTTGGCTGGTGTCAGATGGAGGGAGTCCAAATTATTTTAAGCATATTGAATTGCCTTTTATTTGTTTGTTCATGTTTAGTTGTTACATTTCGGTCCTCTTGCGATTGCTCTTCTAACTTCTCTGTCAGTTCTGGAACAGCAGGTTGACTAGCAATTGGTACAATAGTGATTTCCAAGGACTATGAAATAAAAGCATGAATTGCTGTTTTGCTAGTTGTGCTTCAACAGTATCAGAGATGATTTATATTAGAACAACCGAGCAAGCCTGTATACTGTGGAAGCTGCAAATACATATTTTAAGAGCCATTGTATCTGCAAAGTACCATTTGATGGAAAACTGTTGACAGTGAATTGACTGCTGCTTGCATACTAGATATTTCACTTTTTTAGAACAAGCCCTGGTCATTGCTTGAAGTGCTCCTTACTTAAAAAGAAAAAAAAAGTTTTCATGCAAGGTTTTCTGAAGTTGGGTACTTAAAAAACAGCATACAAAATTATGTTGAAGCCTCTGTTGTTCTGTAACATTGTCCTACTGAAATAAGTGAGTCTTGACCATTGTTTACAATGGAATTCTCCAAAGTTCTCTAAAATTGCTTACAGAATTGTATCTGCCTTCTTCCCTATCTCTATCCAAAATAGATGACTGTCTTGTGATGTGTTGGCTCCTAGTCAAAAAAACTTGCTTGCAACACAATTTCTGTTGGGTCTTCCTTATTCTCTCTCTTTGTGAGGTGAACTAGAGGGCTACCTTGAAAAGCATGATTTCTCTTGTCTGTCAGAGAAGAAGCTGTTTTGTGGCTCTTCCTGTTTTGTAGCTGTTCCTATGACTTTGTCCCTCTTTGAATATTCATTGGCTGGGAAGAGGTTATGGAACATATGTGAAAACATGGAACATATATGAAACATGCTTTTTTAACTATAATCCATTTTGCTTCCAAAGGAAGACAAGGCTTTTTCAGCAGAGTGTGTTTATATCCATGATCCATTCGGTTTGAATGTTTTGAAGAAGGGTTGCCTGAGACGCTGCAATCAAACTGTCACGGTAAGTGTAAGGTACCCAGCAAGGAATATTTATTATGAAATGTCACATATCCATTATTCCAAAATTTATTCAGTAGACTCCTTGCCAAACCTTGGATTCTCTCCTATTTACCATCTATGAAACATGCTCTTGGACTAGCAGCTTAGTAATCTATGGTTCAATGGTGAAGGTCTACATGTCTATATGCGGCTGTACTTTCCATCTTGTCTATTGGCTTCCATTGTATTTTACTTTGTTGTTGTTGTTGTTGTTGTTGTTGTTTACACTGAATTGCCCAGAATCTGGTTGGAGTTGGGTGGAGCTGAAATCAAATGAAATAAAATCAAGAAAAAAAATGCTCATCTGGATACTTTTTGCTCTAAGGTGAAGCATCCCCATTGCCAATTTCCATCCATTCACAAACAAACTATCCATCACAATTCATTCTACCACCATTTTCTCACCATTATTGAGGACACATATCTTTTACTCATCAGTGTTGTATCAGGACAGTGATAGTTAGATGACTGTAGAACAGGGTTTCTCAACCTTGGCAGCTTTCAGAGGTGTGGACTTCAACTCCCAGAATTCCCCAGCCCGCAAGGCTTGCCTGGGAGGTTCGGGGGGTGTGGATCCCACCCCCTAAAACCGCCAAAGGGGAGGGAACCCGTTCCTAAACGCTCTTAATAT